CCGGCTTTGGGTGACCAAGAATAGAAACGTTTTTAGTCATAAAAACGTACATTTCTATGTCCATATATATATATATTTATATATTTCTTAGTTTCTAAAACTCAGGCAAGCACCGTGCTGTGATGCATGGACTGCTGTGCCTTTAAAAAGTGTCAGCTCTCCTATGGCCGTTTACATATTAATGTTATAATTTAAAGACATAAGATTATAAAGATCTTTTTTCATGCAATATGTGAGTGAAATTTAGGATCTTTCTGCAGCAAGTTGTAAAGCCTTTTAGCAAGTGCTTGTGTAAATTTAAAAGTGAATCTTCCTCACGGTATTAGGAATGAGAAAAGACCCTATTCTGAAAATAGCCAAGGAGGGGAAGTTATTTTCAAGCCACACGGATTTGGATTTTGATCTCGGATCAGCAGCTTTTTCACATTAACTGTAGCCCTTTCTAGAGCACACAAGATACTAAAAAGAAAATAAAAAGCAGCTCTTAAAAGATTTTTGTGCAAAAACATTGCCCAGATTAGGACTGTGCTAATAGTTTATATTACTGTTTAGTAATTACAATTTAGTAATTTAGAAATTACTGTTTTTTCCCCTATCTCGTAACCACCGAAGAGGAATGGCTAATTATTTAATGCTAAAGCCTGACGGGGATCCTTTAGAGAACAGCTTAGAGGAATAGGGTGGGTTTCGTTGGGCACCGTATTATTGATATACAGCATATCATCAAGGATATACAACGTGAAAACATTTGGGCACTCTCCTCCATCAGCAAACAAACCTTATTTTTACCATAATTAAGTTACAGTAGAGACTGTAACTTAAGGGACGTTAAAAATAACAAGAAAAACTTCAAATAGATGAACCGCAAAAGCAAGATCGGGGAAAATATGGGTCCACTGGCGAACGGAATGGGCACCCGGGTTACAAATAACACAGAAAAAGCAGAGTTGCTCAATGCCTTCTTTGCTTCGGTGTTTACCAAGGGCAGCCCTTTAGAGTCCCAGGCCCTAGGGACAAGAGAAGACGCTGGGGGAGAGGAAGACTTGCCCTGGGTAGAGGAAGATTGGGTCAGAGAGCACCTAAGGAACCTCGATACCCACAAATCCATGGGCCCTGATGGGATGCACCCCAGAGTGCTGCGGGAGCTGGCAGATGCCATAGCTAAGCCGCTCTCCATCATCTTTGAAAGATCCTGGAGAACAGTGGAGGTGCCGGAAGACTGGAAGAAGGCCAATGTCACACCAGTCTTCAAAAAAGGCAAGAAGGAGGACCCAGCCA